ATTAATAGCTAAAGCTTTAGGCATAGACTGAAAACTTCATTGTACATATAGACCTCAGAGTTTGGGGCAGGTTGAAAGAACAAATAGGAAATTAAGAGAAACTGTAATAAAATTCTCATGAGAGTCCAGGGAAGTGTGGCTAGACCTTCTTTTGCTTTGGTTTTGGCCTCTTGTACCCTGTATAAGGAAGTGTTGCACCCTATGAGATTATGTTTGGAAGACTTCCCACACTGCTCCCTTGGCAAAGAGGCAACAGAACCGCCAGTCCTTGAAAAAGGCTATTTATCAGACTATTTTGGAGACCTAGCTGACCTCTGAATTTACCACCATTTCCCTTTGTTTGAGCCTGGTAATACCACCTGGGTCAAGTGGGTAACCAAAGGAGCACTGAAGCCAACTTAGAAAGGGCACTGCAAGATTTTCAACTCCTACAGCCATGAAGGTAGCTGGCATTACACCATGGATCCACTACAGTCAGGTCAAGAATGTAGAAGCCACAGTGCTGCTGCCAAGTGGAATGTCTCCCAAATTATGGACGTATCAAAATCAAGGTTTCATTGGGTCCCAGGCCCCTGCACTTCCTGCCCCCTACCTCCTCCTGAGTTCTATGATTGTTGTAAATATAGGCTTAGGGTCCAAATCCCTCTGTCCTTAGACCTGGACCTGGGGACCAAGGAAGACAAATATAAGGAAGGTATTAGCCAATGTGGCTACTGACCAGCAACTCATATCATCTTGACCTTTGCTGACTGATGTCCACTTTAAAATGTCTGCTTGTACTGGAGAAAGGAAAGATGTAGGCATTTATCTTTTGAGATAGGAATACAAAATTTACAAGTCTATGCATGCCCTGTGGCTGGGGCCCCTAGTTACCAGGAACCAGTGATTTTCAATCACAAAAATTAGAATTGTAAAATGAAGGTTTCCTGGGAACACACAGATGTGTGTGTGTGTGTGTGTGTGTGTGTGTGTGTGTGTGTGTGTGTGTGTGTATGTGTGTGTGTGTGTGTGAGCATATACTATTCTCAAGAAATACACAATAGGGAAATATAATATAATGGTCATAAAATTAAGAATCTAAAATTTTTTAAGAAAGATTCTGGCTATTGGAAAACCTGGGAACTCAGACTCTATGATACAGGAAGGAACCATGAGAATAGAGGTAATCATTCCAGACCAGATATAGGCTAAGATTGCTTATTATGCTTAGATGCCTACCTCTGTACTTCATAGGAATAGAAACTAAACAGAATGTCAGGCCATTGGCTGAAAAAAACTCATTGTGACTGGGGGAAGCCAAGATTAACATTAGAGGACTTAGAAAGTTCTGAAACTTTTCTAAACCTAAACATTCCTCCTTATTCTGATGCCTGCAATTCTGCTTTACGGGTTAATGTATCTGCATACAATACTAACAAGCTCTTGGGACTATTGTGCCTTCTCTGATGCTTTCCAAATTATGTAGACTAGTATCAGGACCTAGAAGTACGAAAAGTTTTCATCTTTCAATTTAAGCATTCCCTTGCATAAATGGTCCTACAAAATTGGGAGGCTTATACTTACTTCTCATGAGATAAAGGAAACTATATGTGGCTTAGAGAGAAACCCATCATTTCATGCTAATTGATCAGGAATAATTAGAGTAAATTTTTTCTGTTTGGGGAATACTTCAAAAAGAGAAAGAGACAAAGACATAAATAATTAATACCAATCTCTCTTCTCTTTATCCCTCCTAGATAACTACACTGCTATCAGAACTGACTGGAACTTTAATTTTTATTCTGATTGGATTAATAGTAGGGCCTTGCATCTTGAACTATAGTTCAAGCCAATTAGGTAACAATTCAACAAAAAATAAGGGTCCTTGGGACCAGATCCACCTCTTTAAAGCAGGATGAGTCTAGAATTTGACTCATTCAGACCAGTGGGGAATGTAACAGGGCCCCAGACCTTTAGTTAGATGCCAGACCTTAAACACAACTTACTCCACAATGGAACTAAAATTCATGTCATAAAACTCAGCACATAAACAGCACCACCATCCAAAATGAAGACAAAGACATAATCCATCAAAGTCTATAGTTCTAGGAAGGTCTCTAAATGTACTAACTTTGCATTTTGGCATCTGTAGTTCTGATTCTGGCAAACTGTTCTTGTTTACTGAAGTATGTCAACCCAGAATTAGGTTCTGTGCATAAAACCCAACTAAGAAAGGCTCAGTGCTACACTGGGATCCCAAACATCCACTGTAGATGCCATCCAGCTTGCAAAGAATTTCTATTGGTTTAAAATCATGTCTGAATAGTTGCCTCTGGTGGGTACTCATAACACTAGTCACCTTATGCTCTCACCATCATTATCTTTCCCACTCTGAAAGACTGTATAAATGGATGCAAACCATGAGCAGAAATATAGCCTTCCATCCTTCATTTTCTCTCAAGTGTTTGGTAACAGTCATGAGGAAAATAATTTATATAGTGAGGATTATAATTTTTATGAAATTTCTTTTTGATATTTTGGTCTGTAGTTCTGGATATCCATCCTAGATGTTCTTCCATGCTGCATATGCCATTCTCACTCCTAACCTTCATGTTACATAACTCCTGTTTTTACTCCATGTAATACAAAACCCTTGATGGCCCTCCTTTAGTATTTGTTTGACCCAGTATGTGTTCATTTCTATTCTATATGTGAAGGACACAAACATACATTTGCAACTAGGAATGAATGGCAATACTATTTATTTTAAGAATCTAGTCCTGCATATTTGGTGTTCCATGGGCCTCTTGAGTTTGGATAGGGATCTCTTTTTACAGATTTCGGAAATTTCATTCTATGATTTTATTGAAAATATTATCTATGCTTTTGTCCCAGAGTTTTTCTTCTATGACCATAATTCATATGTTTTATATTTTAATGGTATGATAATTGTTGCATATTACTCTGTTCATGTTTTTATGACTTTCACACATAGAAAACATTGCATAACATTGCATTTATCAAACTATTTTCCATTGTTAATGATACAAATTGAGCCCAATGATATATAAATCATTTATATACTATGAATAAATGAGATTTATGAAGTTATGTGCATGCAGATGTGGAGATGGCAGTTGTCCATGTCTCACAGCCATTCATCCTGAACACTCACAGTAAATTAGGGACAAAAAATATCTTCAGTCAGAATAAGGATCTGGCTGCCTTAAAAGTGAGGTCCTGACAGGAACTCTGTGAATGAAGAGAGAAGAAGGCAACCTTTTTCTGCTTATGGTCCTATATCTGTCCTGTGGCCTACCCAGAACCCTCCTGTTATCTACCTGTAACCTTCTGGGTTCTAGTGAAGGAGGTGGTGAGCATTCTTGAAAAGACTCTTGTTGTTCTGTGCATCTCTCTCTGTGTGTGGGGGGACCTACTCTAAATGAATCTCCTTCAGATACTCTCCATTCTAGCTAAGAATTCTATTTTTTATTTATTTTTTTATATAGGTATTTTTCCTGCAATCATGCCCTTGCAACACTTGTGTGTCTATAGAGAGCAGAAGAGGGTGTTATATCCCCTAGAACTGGTGTTACAGACCATTGTGAGCCACTATTTGGGTACTGGGAATTGAACCTATGTTTTCTGGAAGACTAACATGGGTTCTTAGTTTAGCTATCTGTCCAGCCCCTAAGAACTCTTCTTCATGCAAGACCTTGAATAACCCTTTGAGCTCAGATAGTTTAGGACCACCTTACCTCACATGAGAAGCTTCACAGGGACACTGGTATTTGACAAAAGACAAAAGGTCAAGCTTTGACAAAATAGCACCAGTAGGCATTCCCCCAATAGCTTATGATATAAAGGTCATGAAAAATTGTTTATTGGACTGTTGATCTTGAAACACTGATTTTAGAACCAGCGTTGATGGGCCTGTCTCTCCTTGGATAGAAAAAAGCATCCACCTGCCTCCATGACTGACTTAAGAGGGTCACATTCTTTCCTGAGGATGCTTTGGAGCCTGGGTGCACTGAGAGGTAGGGTATGATGGGAAGCTTTTTTAGAAGGAAGAAAAGTGAGTAAGGGGCTGCCATCCTTGTTCTGAGACTCTCTGTGAGGACCTAGGTCTGTTTGCTCTGAATTTTCTCTCTCTTTTCCTGTATTTGGCCTCATTTTCCTTGAGATCTCTCACCATCATCAGAGCCATCACCTCCTGGGCTTCCCCAGAAGAGTCTGGGAAATTTGGATCACTGACTAAATCTGCTTGGCTTCTCACCTATAATCAAGATGTTTAGGGCCTCAGTAGGCGCTGATATTCTAGTAAAGAGGTTGTATGTACAGAGCATCTATACCAGCTGTTTACATGGAAGCTGCTTACAGAGCCTAGGGGCAAGTTCGCATGGGTGAACCCTGCCTGAGTTCAATGGTTTGAATAAGGCCACTTCCCCATTCTTTGAATATATCAAATCTGTCATGGTTGATGTCAGAGCAACACTGGAGAATCAGGCTGTCTCCAGGGACCAGGATCAAGCTTTACTGAGTCATCAGGTAGGGTTTTTTTGACTGTCCTGCAGGGAAGATGGGCTAGATGTTAAGGAGTGGGATCCTGTAGAAATATTACCC